GGGTCATGCTGTTTGACATGAGAGATGATGGGTCGTGCGGATTGCATTTCAACGTTGTTGGAAAGTCACCCTTGTTTGGCAATATATGACTTGAGAAGGATGAATGCAGATATGTGCTGAATATGGCAACGCGATTGGAGTAGTAGCTATTCTATAGGTGAAACCGGTTCATATATTGCCAATATTTGAGCTATGATAGCACATAGAGGAAGAGGCAAATTGCGTTGCGGGGTATCCACTTGAAATTCAGGATTTCGGTAGCGAAATTATTATTCAACGCGTGTTGAGCGATTCCCATTCACGGTGTCCCTCTCGTCTTCCACCGGCGACATATAAATATGACACGAAAGTCACCGAACCGGGCTGCAGGCCTGGGTACATGATTTGTAATCTACTCCAAGAATCCTCACACTTAGAAGTATAGGCACGAGTTGCAAGGGCATCAAGATCCCGGAAACTGTCGGGTACCAAAGAAGAATGATTAGCCACGGGACAATTCGATTCCAATCTCGCTCAACAATTCGTCTAGCACCAAAAATGACCTGACCGCCCATATTTGTACTAGTTACTTAAATGAGTCCTTTGACAAGTAAACTGAGAAGTATTCCGCCTGTTGGTGTGATTAAAATAGCAAGAACCCGCGCGATCAACGTAGATTCTTCATACACTATTTCCGATACTAGAAATACTAAGGGAGCTCGCTCCCAAGAGCAACAATGATATGTCGTCTGAGAAAGCTTTCTGACTAATCACTCAATTTCCAAGCTTGCCTGGAATTGAAGGATATAATTCGCTGCCTTTGCCGAAGAGACCCACACCCACGAGTTTTGGGATGCGCCTCAACAGTTAAGATATGAAACCAGGAAGTTCTCGGCAGCTAATCTGATAATTGAAACCATACTTCCATATTTCTCATACAGTCGTATCTATCACCACACTATAGCCGATTGGCCAATATTCGGCTCCCCAAACCCCGCATAGCTAACTACTTATAGGATATGCTTGTTCAGCTGATATGCCTTTCTGATCGGAGATCAACCTAAAAATTCCTCAACAAATCCAACGAGAATACGTATTAATGGCTCATTACGACAGGGATCTCTCATTCAAAAAGCCCAGATGAAGCAAAAGGTAGTGGTGAGATATTCTGTATGAGCTAAGAGGATACATATAGTCAAAGTCAAGCCAAAACAGAATGATACAAATGGGTGGGCAGGAATCATCGATCGCTCTCCACGAATACGGGGAGGTCATCATTCTTTTCTGGCTCAGTACTGTAGCTTGAATGTCTTTTTGAGGACCAAGGAGCTAGAGACTGCCGATGTTGAAGACTCCGATGTTCGGCCAACCTCTTCAATAGTTAGAGCTCAACCTCAAAGAACTGGTAGTTTCGGTCGTGTAACAGATCCCTTGGAGTGTTTACCGCTTGCTGCTGTTACAGCGTAACATTTTTTCTTGCTCGCAACTTTCTTCCAAAAGGGTTTTCAGGGCTCTGGATCTCTTGGTCTTCACTTTTTGCAGTGAACTTTCGTCGTTTCGCCGGTTCCTCTTTGTCAGATGATGTATTCGTGAGTTTTAAATAGTCTTCGCCCTCTCCTTCCTCCAGTGACGACTCCTCTTCTCTCTTCTTTGCCCCACCCACCCGGGGTCTGGCTTTAGGTATCAATCTACACTTCCGAGGGCGGAGCCATTCTTCCATCCCTGGAGGCCAGTAAACCCGACCATATGGGCCCCCCATGTTCGCCTCTTCCGGATTGAGCTTTGGTAGCTGGCTAGTCCCAACGAGCATGTGAGTTTTCTTGGGAGTTTTCACCCAATCTTCCCTGTAATGTGGAATGACGTGGTTTATTTTTTCGAAACCAGGGAGTTTATAGATCTTCATCAGCTCGAAAACAGCCTGTTCTTTATCTTTAGCCTCAATCATGAGATCCATGGTTGGATCACAGGGTGGGAGTGTGGACACTCTGGCATTATGTTTCCGTCGTTGCACTTTAGTTATTGCTTCTGGGGTGGGCTCGGAGTAATGCATCTTTTGTGTTTTCCCTTTTCTTATCCAAGTTGATCTTATCCGATCATAGAGCGTCATTATGTCGAGGGTGCCTTCCCGAATCTGGTCCGGGTCAAAGTGGATATTATGGTGGTGATAGTCTAGGACGAAGGGTATATTCAATTCCTCGCATACGGGTAGAAGGTCATGCACAGTCCAGCTCATATCATCATTCTCCAAGACAATCCTGTCTTTAATATCCTGAGGCAGGCCCAAGTAGGCCTCTCTAAACCGGCTGAGAGTTCTCTCTTTATCCCCAAAGGTGCCACCCATGTGCAGAACCATAACTGCATCACGATCCATCTGAGGCGGTAGATTCAAGAGATTTAGCATCTCTGTATGGTATGTTAAGTCCCTGATAGAATTGCTGATGACCTCTCTGCGTGGTGAGCCAAGTTGAGTAAACTAACCCTTGTTAGTGTCTGATGACTAGGAATGCCCTATAATTCAGATGCATCCTTACCTGGCCAGGGTGAACAGTGAGACGATGACCAAGTTCGGTGGCAACAGCTCCTACCTCAGCTAGGGCCTTGGATGCAAACGGAGCTAGTTTATATCCATATTCTGCATGACTCGCAAAGGGGAACATCTCACTGCTGATTCTCATGAAGCGGATTCCAAACCGTGCGTTCCAGCGGATCATGGTTACCAAATCCCGGGTATTCGCTAAACCCAACTCTTGCACAAATTTTTGGCCTCTGGCTATATCTGGAGGTTTAGTACGGTCTGGACGGTTTTTGGTAGCATGTCGGGGTTGAGATGAGTCTCGAAGAGGGTGTCGGTTTTCAAGAATAGAAGCAATGCGGCAGGTCCGCGAGCAAAAAACCGGAGGATTTGCATTGCGCAGGTAGGTATTAAGGCATGCCTATAAAGGTCAGAAACGGTATTCAGGCCGCAGAGCCGTTATCCGTGCGTGGAAGGTCGAGTGCTTGCGGACATATCCTAATCGGCCCTTCCATGGTAGCGGAAGATAGCCGCTGTTCACAGGAGGAGACTGTGAGGCGGCTTCTTCTACTTCTTCGTCTGCCCCAACTTCACCGTCCCGCTCAAAATCTTCGTTCGCGGCTTGGCCGGTGCTCATGTTCCGACAGTGTCTCTGTGTTCTGTCTTGATTAAGGAGGCAATTGCTACCTTGAATGTTGACGACCACGGGTCGTCTACACCGCAATCTGGTAGAGCGTAAAAGGAAATAGACGTACATGTAACTTCATGAAACAGGATATATTAAATGTGCATAAAAGGTATAGATGTAGAAGTATCTATGATGATACCAACGGTTGGAGTCAGCTGTATGCCATGTCGCCACCGTTACGGCATATTTGGGTTTTACCTCGTTCTACTTTCGTTGCCCCTTACTCCCTTCGGCGTACTTGCTGGACGCCTACTTGTTACATAGAACCGTAGATATAATAAAAGAATCAGTTGTTCTCGGGCAAAGTAGTATGATTCTTTTGTTGTTTGGGGATACCTTAAGGTAGTTAGGTACATGTCAGATCTGGCATCCTGGTTGCTAAATATCATCCTGGGCGAGCACCGGTGACTTACTATCGGACGACCTTTTCATTCCACAAAGCCTCACACCTAGAACATCCATTTATGTGAAGCTGTTTTACATATCCTCCTGGAACGCTGCAGGGGAGAATCACCCTATCTCCACAGCTAAATGCGAGCATCTGGTTGATATTTCTGGATGGCTTAGTAACCAAAGTAACTAACTAGCTCTCCTGAGATTTAGTGAGTGTCAGGCTGAACTCAAAACTAAACTTAAATTTACAGCTATGCTATTGGTGAAAAACATGGAGCTATAACGTGACCCTAGAAGGTGTGGCTTAAAGCTCTTTGACTAATTCCAGACATCTGTTGACAACATCTTTGCGGACCGCAATCGAAGCATCCAGCTCCTCACAACGGAGTAGTTGAGAGATCGTCAACTACCGAATACAAGCACCAGCGTAAGCGCTAGTCGGCAAAATATTACTCAAGCTTTATTGCCCATCCGTCGAGCACTCACAAGAACTCGGGAGATGGCTAGACTTCGGTGACTATGCTTTGAAAATTCTCTTGTGACACTGGAGTTGCCCGTAGTTCATTATTTTTGCTTGCCTCCTCGTGCCTGACCCACTAACTGGAGGTCAACAAGGTGCTGGAACTCATGGATGGATTGGCCGGGCTTGCAAGCACGGATTCGGCATGAAGGTTGTTGTGGTTGTTCCCGCGATGCCCCCATCGCCGGAAAACTCCCCGAGAACGGTGACTTTTGAGTTCCCTCTCAATGCTACTGGCAAATCACCTAGCTAGGTCCCAAAAGCTGGTTTTGACCCATGCTACCGCTGCATTGTCCTTCGAAGCTCTCAGCTGAAAGAAAGGGTAACTTTATAGTGGAAGATACCAGGGTTAGTCCCGTCTCACGCGTATGGCAATACAAAAATACGTTTGGGGCTGAAAGAATATGGAAATTGTGAAAGCAGTCAGGGATGCTCCCACCCGGTCTCTTCACGTCTAAGTGAATCTACAGAGAAAATGCAGGATAAGCACGATGTGGCCGGTAATACGGTTTCGGCTTGGATGATACCCTTTATCCTTGCATTGGTATCACCCAGAGACCCCCTCACAGTCGGTCAAGTAATAAACTTCAAATATAGGCTGACAATTGCAATCTTATGGACCATGGCTAGTATAACTAAAGCATTGCCATCCCAGGGCTGTCTGCTGGGCCGTCGAGTCACCGAAAAAAGGTTGTAGAATGAACCGATTCGGTTGCACTAACACACCGAACACTAGGCTGTCAGCAAACTATGCTGTTTCTGCAAGTCCGTCACGGTTGATGGGGCAATAATAACAGATTAATATTAGTCTGTGGTATTCCTTCTCTCCTCTCCCTATGAATACTTCTTGTCAACCACTCTTCACTCTTTTTGCCCCCCACTGTCGATCAACTGCATAGTATACAACCATGCCTCAACGCAAGGAGCCAATTGCCATCATTGGCAGTGCCTGCAACTTTCCCGGCAATGCCACCACTCCATCAAAGCTATGGGAATTGCTGAAGGAGCCTTATGATCTCTCGAAACCCGTTCCACAAAATCGCTTCAATGCTGATGTTTGGCACCACAAAGATAACGCCCATCATGGTACTAGCAACGTCACCAAATCCTATTTCCTCGAGGCAGACCCTTCTGCCTTTGATGCAACTTTCTTCAACATTCCACCAAACGAATGCGAGGCTATCGACCCACAGCAGCGTATGCTCCTTGAAACGGTTTACGAATCCTTATGCGCGGCCGGCGTTACCATGGAGAGTCTCCGCGGGTCTTCTACTGCTTGCTATGTTGGGCTCATGTGTGACGACTGGGCTGGCATGCTGGCTAAGGACTGGGACTGTTTACCGCAGTATGCTGCAACCGGGATATCTCGTGCCATTATGGCTAACCGTATCTCCTACTTCTTCGATTGGCATGGCCCGTCCATGACCATAGATACCGCCTGCTCGTCTTCATTGGTAGCTGTCCATGAAGCCGTTCAGGTCCTCAGAAGTGGCGACTGCAATGTCGCAGTTGCTTGTGGAGCCAACTTGATCCTTACCCCTGGTATCTCCCCCCCCCCCCCCCCCCCCCCAACAACTGACTTGCTAATTGCTAACTCTTTGGTCATCAAGCATGTATATCGCGGAAAGTAAGCTGAAAATGCTTTCTCCAGATGGAAAGTCACGGATGTGGGATCAAGGTGCCAACGGCTACGCGAGAGGTGAAGGCCTTGCGGCTGTGGTTCTGAAGACCCTGAGCCAGGCTATCAAGGACGGTGATCATATTGAGTGTGTCATCCGGGAGACTGCCTTCAACCAGGATGGCCGCACTACTGGTATAACCATGCCGAGCAACCTTGCTCAAACAGCCTTGATTAGAGAAACATACAAAAAGGCTGGCCTTGACCCCTTAGATCCCAACGACCAGCCTCAGTTCTTCCATGCGCATGGAACTGGTACACCTGCTGGAGACCCGCAAGAGGCCGAAGCAATTAGCCGAGCGTTCTTCAATGATGACCAAACTGTTGAAAAGAAGCTCTGGGTTGGATCTATAAAAACCATTATTGGCCATACTGAAGGCACCGCTGGCCTTGCCAGTCTTATTGGTACCTCTCTTGCCCTACAAAACAAGACTATTCCGCCAAACTTGCACTTTAACCAGATTGCCGAGAAGGTCAAGCCTTTCTACACCAATCTTCAAGTTCCAACGACAAGCCACCAGTGGCCATCCCCCCCAGCTGGTCAGCCAATGCGTGCCTCCGTGAACAGCTTTGGTTTCGGCGGTGCTAATGCTCACGCAATTCTTGAAAGTTATGAACTGGTTGAGTCACACAAGCCATGCGACAACACGCCCCTTTTCACCCCCCTAATCTTCTCAGCACACTCAGAGAAGAGCCTTCGAGGGATCCTTGATGCATTCTCCGAGTTTTTGAATCTAGAAAACTCTCCTGATCTTAGTGACATTGCCTGGACTTTGCAAAAGCGGCGCTCAGCGCTGGCTTATAAGATCGCTATCTCTGGCCGAACAACAACTGATATCGTTGCCACCATAGATGCAGCCCGTAAACAAAAGGAGGGTCTGGGTGTTCGATCTTCAGGCCCTGAGAAACTGACGGTGCTTGGTGTCTTCACTGGTCAAGGAGCTCAGTGGCCAACTATGGGTAGCGAACTTATCAAAGCCTCCGCTCATGTTCGAAACATTATCGCCGATCTCGACCGGTCTCTTCAGGAGCTCCCTGAAGCGGATCGGCCAAGCTGGTCCATCCGGGGGGAGCTTGAGGCTGATAAGCGATCTTCTCGCCTTGCTGAAGCTGCCCTTTCTCAACCACTCTGTACTGCCGTTCAAATTGTCCTGGTAGACCTACTTAAAGCTGCTGGCACCAATTTGGAATTCAAGGCTGTGATTGGGCACTCTTCTGGCGAGATTGCCGCTGCCTATGCTTCTGGATTTATCTCTGCTCGAGACGCTATCCGTGTTGCTTACTACCGCGGGCTGTACGCCAAGTTCGCTAGTTCTTCCTCTGGAAAGAAAGGAGCAATGATGGCAGTTGGTACAACTCTTGAAGATGCCGAAGAATTTTGCCAGCTTGAGGAGTTTTACGGCCGTATTACTGTTGCAGCAAGCAATGCTGCCACCAGTGTGACCCTCTCAGGAGATGAGGATGCAATTGATGCAGCTCTAGTGGTGTTTAAGGACGAGTCTAAGTTTGTTCGCAAGCTCAGAGTGGACACCGCTTACCACTCCTTCCACATGAATGCGTGTTCTGAAATGTATTTAAAGGCAATGGATTCCTGTTCCATTCAGTTTAGAGACGGAAACCCCTCCATCCCGTGGTACTCTTCAGTCATCCCCGATACAAAGATGGCCTGCGCCAACCTCAATGGCCAATATTGGGCTGACAACATGAATAATACCGTTTTGTTTTCACAGGCTGGGATTACTGCTGTGAAGGAGTCAGGTCCATTTGACTTGGCTATTGAAATCGGACCCCATCCCGCGTTGAAAGGACCATGCCTGGAAAACTTGGAGCAAGCTACTGGTATAGGTGGTACACCTTATACTGGCCTCTTGTCGCGCGGTGTCGATGATGTCAAGGCATTCTCTTCTGCTCTCGGCTACATCTGGGAGTATTTTGGCCCATCTGCTGTCGATTTTGAAGGGTATGATAAAGTGATGTCTTCAGGTGCTCAACGCAATAATTTGTCCGGAGAACTTCCTGGATATTCTTGGGATCACTCAAGGAGCTACTGGCTCGATTCCCGTATAGCTACTTCCTATACTACTCGCGAGGCCCCACATCCGATGCTGGGTGTAAATGTTGTTGAAGGTACTACAGGAACACAAATCCAGTGGAGAAATATCCTATTCCCCAAAGAAATCACTTGGATACCTGGTCACCGATTGCAGGGCCAGAATGTCTTCCCTGCATCTGGATATGTGTGTATGGCGATTGAGGCTATAATGACTCTTGCGAGCAACCGGGACGTGCAACTGATTGAACTGGAGGATGTTGACATTGCTCGTGCTATTTCGTTTCTTGATGATACTACTGGGATAGAGCTTATCTTCAACCTTAATGTCTTGTCATCCGATCATGATTCTGTCAGCGCTAGCTTTCAGATATCATCATGCCCCAAGGGTGATAACGTACTGACTTTGAACGGAAAAGGAAAGATATCTCTTCGTTTCGGTGACCCCATTGTTAACGCGCTTTCAGCTTCTCAGATGCCTCAGTTCAACATGACAAATGTTGATATTGACCGATTTTACAAGTATCTATCGGACATGGGCTATAACTATTCTCCGCCCTTCAAGGCAATCAGTTCCATCCTTCGCAGGAAGGATGCAGCAGTTGGAGAAATCACTGATTCTCGCGGCGAAGCATGGGAAGACAATTTCCTTATGCACCCTGGTTTTGTTGATACCAGTTTCCAAGCCGTCTTTGCTGCATTCAGTTCTCCCGGAGATGACCGGCTCTGGTCTATCCATGTTCCTACTAAAATCAACCGGTTATCAATTAACCCGTCATTAGCAGTTTTCCCACCAGGTGAAGAAGTCGTTTGGCCTTGGCAAGCTGCTGTGACCAGTGGAACACATGATACACCTACAGCTGACATTGAAGTCTTTGCCCCCAATAAGAATGGAGTTCTCATGGAAATTGAAGGCATTGTCCTTGTTCCACTGGCCAAGGCTTCAGCGGAGAACGATGTTAAGCTATTCTCCAACCTTGTCTACGATCTAGCTCAACCGGACGGCGCTATTGCCTCTCCCCATCGTTTACCCGAGTCTGACGCTCATATCGCGAGGGTTTCTGAGAGATTCTCTTTCTACTGGATCAACCAACTCCTGAATACCATCACCACTAAAGAGGAGGAGGAAACTCTTCCACACTTCAAACATATGCTTAGGTGGTGCAGATTTGTGCACAAGCAAGTTATTGATGGGGAGCACCCCTTTGTTGGGCCTGATGCTGTGAATGATACCTTGGATTATGTAGAGTCTCTTGTTGCCGATGCCGGAGATCGTGCTGATATTGGTATTCTCAGAGCAGTTGGCCAAAATATTGCTCACGTTATTCGCACTCGTGGAAATATTCACGAGTATGCATTGAAGGATAACATCCTGGATCGCTTCTATGAGGAGGCTATTGGCCTGGATATCACCAACCAGTGGGAAGCAAACCTCGCTGCTCAAATTGCTTACCGATATCCACGAATGAATATTATCGAAATTGGTGCCGGTACGGGCGGATCAACTAGAATGATTCTCCCTACTTTAGGAAAGGCCTTTTCAACTTATACGTTCACGGATATTTCTTCTGGATTTTTCGAGGCGGCAGAGGAGAGATTTAGCCAATATGCAGATCGCATGATTTTTAAAACTCTTGACATGGAAAAGGATCTCAGCGAGCAGGGATTTACCGAAGGTCATTATGATATGGTTCTTGCTTCAAACGCTCTACATGTTGGCCCTGATATTGATTTGACTTTGTCGAATGTGCGCAAACTTGTGAAACCAGGTGGTTGGTTAATCAACATGGAGGTGGCCACATACTTCCCAAGCTTACGAGAGGGTTTCTCGATGTCTGGCTTCCCAGGCTGGTGGTGTGGTGCTGAAACAGGTCGTCCATGGGGCCCGACAATAACCGTGGATGAATGGGATAAAGTGTACAGGCGAACTGGATGGTCCGGTGTTGACACATTCACTCCCAACATTGACTCTATAGACCACTTGGTTGTTATGGTGACCCAGGCCGTGGATTCCCAAATCTACACTCTTAGAGATCCTCTCTCCCCTGAACACGCTCATCCACCACGCGACAATCTTGTTATTATAGGTGGAAGTACTGATGAAGTTGCCAACATCGTTACAGAATGTGCGAACATCCTACGGCCGCATTTCAGTTCGATCTCAAACGTAATTTCAATTGATGATTTTAGCAACAGCGAGAGCGACGCGGTTGCCACAGTCTTAAATTTGGCTGAGCTAGATGTACCAATTATGAAAGAGCTCATGGACAACCAACCCCAGAAGCTTGATGGCGTTAAGGAGGTATTTTCAACCCCCAGGGAGATTCTTTGGGTGACCAAAGGCAACAGATCGGAGAGCCCGTTCTCCCGCATGTTGGTCGGCATGGCGCGCACCCTCCGCAGAGAGTATTCTGGGATCAATTTCCAGGCACTTGACGTTGATTTACTGGATTCAAACTCTGCTAAGCTGTTTGCGGAGACCTTACTCCGACACGTCAATCTCAATGAGGCAAACAGTCGACTTGTTCCAGGATCCATTCTATGGAGTGATGAATCTGAGTATCATCTGGAGAATAACAAAATTTATACCCCCAGACTTATGTCTGCAGATAAGCTGAATGACCGATACAATTCATATAAACGCCGTATTACTCACGAAGTCCCTGCCAATTCATCCTGTATTGAATTGACCATTAAGGGAGACTCATATGACCTTTTCGAACCATCTCCTCTTAAACCTACTGCTGGGTCAGATGGTGATAGTGAAATTACTGTAATGAAATCCCTGCTTCAATCCGTGGAAGTCCCTTTGGTGGGACACTTCTTCTTGTGCTATGGCAAGAATAACTCCGGTGAAAATGTCATCGCTCTCTCAGATCAGAGCAAGTCAGTGGTTCATATTCCAAAGCCGTGGACCATACCGTACAGTGGGGAGGCCAATTCAGCACAGGTTCTTCTTTCAATTGCTGCTAATCTCGTTGCGCATCTGATCATCGAGGACGCCATAACGAACAGTACTATTCTAGTCCATGAGCCTGACCAAATTGTAGCTGCTGCCATTAGCAAGCTAGCAGTGTCGAAAAAGATTCGAACTTTTTTCACTACTACACAAATTTCAAAGAAGGGGCCACAGTGGACTTATATTCATCCCAAAACCCCTCGCCGTTTGTTGAGAAAGCAGTTGCCCAAAGGAGTATCCCTTTTCATCAGTTTTTCCAATTTCTCGGACGATCAGGCTATATCTAACCTCCTGGAGTGCCTGCCCGTTTATTGCAAACAATCAAACCGATATCTGTTTTTCGGAAACAAGATTGCAAAACGCTTTGGCTCCGACGTTGACCTTGTCTCCAAATATTTATCCACAGGCTTTGATATTTCTAAGGCTGCTAACTTCATGGTGCCTGAGAATAGGTCTAGTCTGCCTCTGGATAAGGTTCCTGGGTATTCTGATAAAAACAAACGCCTATTAGTAGTCGATTGGGCGGTCGATACCCAAATACCGCTTACTGTCGAGCCTATTGACCCTTACGCCAACCTTTTCACTGCAGAAAAAACATACCTCATGGTTGGTTTGTCTGGAGAAATGGGCCAGTCTCTCGCAGAATGGATGATAAGCCGAGGGGCGAGATATGTTGTCCTTACCAGCAGGAGACCTAAGGTAAATGCTCAGTGGATCGAAAGTATGGAAGACGAATATGGGGCAACCATAAAGCAAATGCCGCTGTAAGTTTATCAATGTTAAAAGGTGTCAATTATTCTAACAAGGCCTAGGGATATTACGGACACGGATGCTCTTCAAGCTTGCTATAACAAAATATGCCGCACGATGCCGCCTATTGGTGGAGTTGCACACGGAGCTATGGTTTTGGTTGACAGTCTCTTTCAGAAGATGAGTTATGACGACCTTATGGCAGCTCTAAGGCCAAAGGTCCTTGGAGCAATCAACCTGGATAACCTTTTCTCGGAGAATACCCTTGACTTTTTTATTTTGTTCTCTTCCATTACAGCCCTAATTGGCAACGCTGGTCAGAGTAACTATATAGGCGCCAACAGTTTCATGGAATCTCTAGGCTTGCAGCGTCGTCGTAAGGGTCTTGCCGCATCCGTTATCGCCATTTCGTCCCTTATTGGCCTTGGCTATTTTGAGCGCGCCGAAGATCTAGATATCGACCAATTTTCTCGATCTGGATACAGAAATGTTTCTGAACAGGACATTCACACCTTGTTTGCAGAAGCAATCGTCAGAGGAAGACCAGGGACGACCGAAAGCCACGAAGTCGTTTCCGGCGTTGTTCCTACCTATGCGGATGGAGATATCAGAGCATCCTACCTAAAAGATAGCAAGTTCTCCCACTTGATTCTGGAACGTACTTCAGCCAAACAGGATGGCACTTCATCTGCCCAAATTCCCGTTAGGATTCAGCTTCTTACGGCGACAACAGAGGAAGAAGTTTGCGATATCATGCAATGTAAGACTTACATTACCTTTTCTAGAAAAACAGAACTAACATTTCATTAGCTGGGTTTACACGAAGAATCAAGAAGATGCTACGTATCCCAGAAGAGGATGACTTTAATGCAACAGCTTCACTTGTAGAGCAGGGGGTCGACTCACTGGTTGCAGTTGAGATTCGAACCTGGTTTATCCGAGAAGTTGATATCGACATGCCAGTTCTCAAAGTCCTAGGTGGTTCATCTGTCTCTGATTTGATAAATGATGCCATGCTGCGGATATCCCCCGACCTTACCCCTAACCTAGGAGCCGAAGGGGCTCAAGTCGAAGCCAATAGAAAACCTGCACCACCTGAAGAGACTCCCACCATTTCTTCTACACCAGTTATGGTGCAGAAGTCAGCTCCTACTATGCAAGAGGCCGAACCCAATCTCAAAATTACAAATGTCAACCCAGCAGCAATATCTATTCCTGATATTACCACACCAGCCATATTACTATCAACCGAAGTCAAGGAAATCAAGTCTGACCGACAAAACTTCGATAGCTTAGCTAAATCAGAAGTCACCGAAATCATGTCCTTTGGGCAATCGCGGTTTTGGTTCCTTAATCAAGCTCTCCAGGATAAAACAACGTTCAACATGGCAATTTTGGTCAGGCTTAGCGGTCGTATTCGTGTTAAAGACATGGAAAGAGCCTTGGAAACTGTGGTTTTAAGGCATGATGCCCTTCGCACAAGATACTTTTCAACCGGTGAATATATGGAGAACCCAATGCAAGGGGTTATTCCAACATCGGCAGTCAAACTTGTTGTCAAGCATTGTAAGGACGAATCTGGCGCTTACAGGGAGCTTGATGAAATCAGATCCCACGTATGGGACCTAAATAGTTGGGAAACCATGAAAGTATCTCTGCTTTCTTCCTCTGAAACGATGCACTACCTTGTCATTGGATGTCACCACATTGGCATGGACGGATTCAGCTTCAACATTTTCTATAGTGACCTTGAAAAGGCATACGAAGGACAGAAGCTTCCTGCTATTTCTAAATCTGCACAGTACGGAGCGTTTGCACGAAAACAACGTGAAGATTGGGATAATGGTAATATGAAAGCGGACCTCGCATACTACCGTGAAATTATACCTACAAACCTCAACCCTATTCCCCTATTTCCATTTGCAAAGTCCAGCACACGATTGCCCCTGGATGTCTACGGTACCCATAGCGCAGACATTCGCCTTGAGCCAGCACTGACAAGGAAAATCAAAGCTGCTTCCCGATCTCTTAGCTCGACAACATTTCATTTCTATCTTGCAGTCCTCCAGGCTCTTGTTTTCCGTCAATTAGACGACTGTGATGAATTTTTCATCGGAGTTGCTGACGCAAATAGGACGGATGACAAATTTATCAGCACCCTTGGGTTCTTCCTCAACCTCCTTCCAGTACGTTTCGAACGCTCTGCTGCAGAGAAGTTCGGAGACGCTGTAAAACAGGTCCGAAACAAAGTGTACAAAGGACTGGCCCATTCTAAGTTGCCTTTTGACATACTTCTGGATGAGTTAAAAATCCCTCGGTCAGCAACTTCCACTCCCATCTTCCAGGTTTTCGTGGACTACAGACAAGGTGTCGAAGAGAAACAAAAGTACATGGGTCTTGATGCTATAGGTGAAAAGTGGCACCTTGCAAGGACTGGATATGACATGACTCTCGATATTGTTGAAAATGCTACTGGTGATACCCGCCTTGAACTACGCCTTCAACAATGTCTATACACGGCAAAACATACCAAACTTTTGCTAGAAGGCTATGCGAACCTCTTGATGGCCTTTGCTGATAACCCAGCTGTAAACTGGAATGCACCGGATGTTTGGGATAGTAAGACGATTAATGATGCGATTGAAGTCGGCCGCGGTAAGTTCCCAAATCATAACTTTGAAGAAACGAGAAGTTAATTCAATTCAGGCCCTTCACTGCAATACCAATGGGCCGCTACGGTAATGCATCATATTGATGATGTAGTGTCTGAACGTGGCACCAATATCTGTCTCAAGGATGGAACTGGAAAGATCATGACTTATTCACAGATGGCACGCCGTGTCAACTCCATTTGCTCCGCCTTGGTTACAGCTAATGTTACTGAGGGCGACAAGGTGGCTGTCTTCCAACAGCCCACTGCCGACTGGGTTTGCTCACTGCTTGCCATATTCCGTGCTGGAGCTGTTTATGTTCCTCTTGATCTCCGGACTCCCTTCCCTCGTCTTGCTGCGATTGTCGATCAAATTCGGCCTCAAGCGATTCTTGCTCATAGCCAAACTCTCGGAGATGTGGAACACATCAATACTTCAGCCTCCGCAGTCGTGGATATAACCAATCTACCTACCAACAGCCCATTCATGCCGAACATTGCCAAACCTGGCGCACCCGCGGTTATTCTGTTCACTAGTGGCTCAACAGGGACCCCCAAAGGTATCCATATCAATCACAGCAACATCGTAAAACAGCTAGAAGGCTGCTCCAAACAATTTGATTTGAAGAGCTCTGCCTCCTACGTCCTTCACCAAACCGCATACTCTTTCGACAAATCACTCGAACAGATTTTTACCGCATTGGTACATGGTGGTGCCCTCTACGTTGTTCCGGCGGAGCAGCGTGGTGACCCTATATCAATCACTAATATCATGGCCTCAGAGGGGATAACGCATACTGCTACTACACCGTCAGAATATCTAATGTGGTTCCGTTACGCAAGAGACAATCTCCTGAAATGCAAATCTTGGAAGTGTGCCCTTCTTGGAGGGGAAGTTGCTTCAGATGCTGTCCTTGAAGAATTCCGAAAGTTGGGGATGCCGATCAGACTCCTTGACAGCTATGGCCCCGCTGAAATCACCATGTCCTGTGCTAAGGTTGAGTTGCCATATCGTTCTATGGTGGTCGGTACACAAGCACCAGTAGGCTTCATGTTGCCTAATTACTCTGTCGCTATCGTGGATCCTAAGATGAACCCCCTCCCTCTCGGCTTCGCTGGTGAGATTGTTATCGGAGGTGTAGGCGTGGCCGGGGGTTACCTGAACAATGATGAACTAACTAGACAGAAGTTCATTGCAAACAACTTTGGGGGAGAAGGAATGTTGTACCGTACTGGAGACAAGGGCCGTCTTACTGAAGAAGGGGCTCTTTTCTTTGAGGGCCGAATAGATGGTGATACCCAAATCAAGTTACGGGGTGTCCGTATCGAACTTGAAGACATCGAAAGCACCATAATTCAAGCTTCGACGGGTGCCCTTACCCATGCTGTTGCTACCGTGCGTGGAGAACAAGACTCTGCCTTCTTAGTAGCACACGTTGTGTTCTCCACAGCGTATACAGAATATCGCGACGAATTGCTTGCCCGACTTCCAACGATTCTACCACTACCGCAGTATATGATTCCTACTGTCTTTGTTGCCTTAGACAATGTTCCATTCACGGCTCATTTCAAGGTTGACCGGAAAGCAGTGCAGGCTCTCCCGATCCCGAAGGTAGAACAGAAGTCAACAGAGGAGCTAACTGAACAGACGGAAACTGAATCCCATCTTGCTGGGCTTTGGTACGAGATAATTCCAGCAGCCCACTCGTTAACACCCAGCACCGACTTCTTCCATGCTGGAGGTAATTCTCTAATGCTTGTTAAACTGCAAGCAATGATACGCCAAAGCTTCAGCGTTAGCATCCAGCTCTTTGATATAATGAATGCGGGGACCCTGCAAAACATGGCTCGCTTAATTGATGACGCCCTTGGGGTCAAGGAACTGGACTGGACTGCAGAAACTGATCTTCCAACGCTACCTAAGTCTAACGCCGACGTTTCACCTCCAAAACAGAAAGATATGGTGGTTATGATGACTGGAGCTACTGGTGTTCTTGGTAGAAATGTCCTTGCCCATTTGGTAGCGGATGACCGTATATCCAAGATATATACGTTAGCTGTACGCCCGCAAAGCGATATCTCAATCTTGACTCGCATTCCCGATCCTAAGGGGAAGATGGTCATTAAGCATGGCAACCTCGACAAAGCTCGTCTTGGTCTATCTGAAAAAGAGGCGATGCTTCTTTCAAGCGAACTCGATGCAATCCTACACCTTGGTGCCAACCGTTCATTCTGGGATTCATATTACCATCTCCGTGCTACAAATGTCTCTAGCGTCAAAGAAATTGTGAAGATTGCATACCCACGCAAGGTCCCTATTCACTTCTGTTCTTCAGGAGGAGTTACATTGTACTCAGGAGGCTTTCCACCTGCTAGTGGACATGATGGATACGTCGCCTCTAAGTGGGCAGCAGAAAAAGTGCTCGCCAACGCCACGCAAGAGCTCGACCTGAGAGCTGTCTTGCATCGCCCGGCGAAGGCCTCTGGGGCCACAACTAACGTTCCAGACTAAATCTTAAATGAACTCCTTTCTCTTGCCAGACAGTCTCAGAGAAAACCAGATCTAGATGGTCTAACTGGCAGTATAGGCATAATTCCTCTCGAACGCATTGCCGGAGACATCGTGAGGACTTTATTTGACGAGGCTACCAAATTAAGCCATCCAGAAGTTATAACACACTCTAGTACTCTCAACGTCAGCATCAAGGGCTTTGCCGATAAGATAAAACAAGATGAAGCTGTGTCCAAGCTGGAAGGCATGCCGGCCCTGAAATGGATGGGATTGGCTAAAAAGAAGGGATGGAGCCAGTTCATGGTTGGTCATGAAATCTCAATGAGCAACTCCAAGGACCACATTGTCTCTACTCGATAGGCGAGTAGAGGAATGGGAATAAAGGATATCAGCTCCTTTCCGCCTCTTTTCTCCCACAATTTCGTTAACTAGACATTTTAAACTGTCCTGTTTGTTAGTGAATCTGTTCGTGCAAACTGCTAGTTAATAATCATTTGTAATCTTTCACCTGCTGGTTTCCCCTATGAGTAGCTATCTCAACCCTCAAATAGACCCAATTTATCTATCTCCGGCCATTTACCCGTTATACCATTTCTCCCTGGACAAGTAACGCTTATCTACCAGTTCTCTCCCCTTCTACTTCCGTTACCCCTTTTCATATTACTGCTGACTAAGCATTTCCACCATAAGCGCCTCGGCTCTCAACGTCACTTCATCAACTCCTTCAACTACGCCGGATCTACACAGCTTAGACTAGATGATGAACACTACTCTCTTTAGCTAAACATATACTGGTTAGTTAGGCCTCTAGGACGGTGATGAGCCCCCCGTTTCTAGGATATACACCCTAGTTTTATCCTTCAAAAGACGAGATGGCTCCGGCTTTGCGTCCCAATGCGATATCCTCATACCTCGTATTTATTATCACCATTGTGACACTTGGTTCTCTACAGTTTGGATATCACTTGGTAAATATAACTTTATCTCATCACTGCTCTTCCACTCCTGTAACGTTAAAGTGCAGGTTATCTGCCCTCTTTTTGATGTATTGGCTGACATGCAATATTATGCTCTCATACCGTATTAGGCTGAGCTTAATGCCCCTAAGGCTGTGATAACATGCGAGAAGGATCACATTTTATCATCTAAACTGCCTCAATGTATTCCGATGAGCCAGGAATTATTTGGTCTTGTTTCTTCGAGCTATACCCTAGGCGGACTTCTCGGGGCCCTCCTGGCTGGGCCACTCTCTACTAAGTATGGGCGACTACTTGTTCTTCGGTCCTCGACGCTATTCTTCATCCTTGGCCCACTTGCTGAAACTGTTGCCTTTCCCATCTCCCTGTTTGTGGCAGGGAGATTTTTGTCTGGTATCGGGTCAGGTGCTTCTCTCGTGGTTGGGCCGATTTACGTTTCCGAAGTCTCTCCATCGAGCAGCAGGGGGATGTTTGGCGCCGTAACTCAAGTTATGGCCAATATTGGTATCTTATTAACGCAGGTATTAGGATATTTTCTCAGCAAAGGAAGCACGTGGCGTATTATTCTCGCTGTGTCCGGGTGTATTGGTGTCGCTCAGCTCTTTGGGCTGGTATTTGTTGTCGAAAGCCCTGTTTGGCTCGCAGATAACCAGAACATGGCCCAAGCCAAAAAGATTTTGCAAAGAATAAGAGGGCCTACAGCAGATATCAGTGAAGAAATAAGAACCTGGGGAACCTCTGCTCCTGCCGGCCCAAGAGATTCCATAACCGTCGAAACGGAGGAAGAAGAATCCCTTCTGGCAAACCCATCGTCAAGAACTGCCTCCAGTTCCAAAGAACCCGTGTCTATGTTTGGAGCGTTGATGGATCCAATATACAGACCCGCCATAATATCCGTCATCGCAATAATGCTTACACAACAGTTCACCGGCATCAACAGCATCGTCATGTATAGCGTCTCGCTCCTATCTACTATTCTCCCGACGACCGCAGCTCTCCTAACAGTCCTAGTATCCTGTCTAAACCTAATTATGACAGTCATATGCGCACCATTATCCGACAAACTCGGCCGGAAAACATGTATCTTGCTTAGTATAGCAGGTATGGGCACCATGTCTATGCTACTTGCTATAGGAATAGCATCCAATTTCAAAGTCCTCTCGGCTGTGGCAACGCTCTTATTTGTAGCAAGCTTCGCAGTTGGCCTTGGCCCTGTTCCATTCATTCTAGCCTCGGAGCTAGTAGGACCAGAAGCAGTTGGAGCAACGCAAAGTTGGGCCCTCGCATCAAGCTGGATAGCTACATTTATCGTTGCCCAGTTTTTCCCAAGCCTTAATGAACACATGGGTGGTAAGAGACAAATTTATTGGCTATTCACTGCGATGGCACTCATACTTGGATCATTTATCTGGTGGTGGGTTCCTGAGACGAAAGGGAAGAGTGGTATGGATGAAGTTTGGGAACGGACTAGGAGAGCGAGCGACTAAATGCGGTGTTTGTTGGATCTATTTAGTTCTATTTCATATGACGTTTTCTGGTACGCTCTAACGGCAGCAAAGCTTCTATGTTGGCTTTATACATTCTTATTGTCGTCTTCGCTTATTTCAATTAATTAGCCAGGCGGCTGAATTGCAGTATACGGTTCTAGTACAGGTTCATCCTTCATGTTGGTATCATAATATATACAAACAAGCAGTAGCAGCAACAAAAGCCAAAAAGCAAAAGGTATCTGGCGCAAGTCAACGATAGATGTATCCGTTCCCATACCAAAGAGGAACCCCGACGCTTAACCAAAAACTAACAAGCAAACGAATTGAGACGATAAGGACAGCTAAATTCATCTCCTCTCAAGCCTGCTTAGAGCTCTTAAAATATCGCTTAAATCTTCCCTTCCGCCGACTACTGTCCCTTGGAGACTGTTCTTGCCGTCCTCTTTTCCTCCAGGCAACGTCAACACATCAGCATTTTTGCCTTGTAGTCCATCTCGCTCCTCCAGTCTTTGAGCACATATACGTAATATGTGACTGCTGAGGCTGTCTGCGGATTGCCGGAACATCTCAATATTGTGGATACCAGCTGCAAAGGAGTCAAGAGTTGGTGTTAGGGAAGTAGAAAGCCGTGTCAGGCGCTCTAATATTGATAATATGGAGGTATCGATTTCAGGGCTGGAGTTAGCGGTTTTCGAGGAGGCTTCTTTGGGCCGTGATTCTGAATGGCCAAGAATATTTAAAATTGACGCTTGAGTTGGATCAAGGAGAGATTGGTTGACGGCTGACGGGTCACGCCGCAAAGGCTCAGGTCTATCGTCTTGTTTGGATGTAGGGTGTTTGATGATATCCGATTTAGTGCCAATACTTGGTACCGATGGTGGACGTATAAGAGCTGCAAGAGACTGACGCTCCGCCTGGAGACTATAATGTATATTAGCATCCGAAAACAGGTTGGGTATAAATGAATTCAACACACCGCCGAATATGTTCTTCTAGCTCCTTTATCTTGTCGGCGTTTTGTATATTTTTTGGGTTCGGTTTTTTAATGACAACCGCTGGAGTGGTTGTTTCAGGCCGACTGAACCAATCCGTCAAGTCTGACCTGTCTCCAAAATCTTTTAGTAACTCTTCTTGAATAACGCGGGCTAAAACGGGCAATACGATTAGTAAATTTGACTTCCTTTCAGCATTGCAGAAAATAACATACCAGCCAACCTGGCGCTTTCGTCCTCTGACCGTGACCCCGTCGGCTTCTCACCAAGTGCCCTGGTGGCACACCAAGTGAGTAACTGTCTCATTCGCCGCGGCTCAGGAAGCCCCTCGCTAGCTATATGTTTATAGAAATGCGCAGTGTCAACCTTATCGTGTGGTAAGGCTATGTGTGTACTCACGTTAGCAATAGTCCACTACTCAATAACGTCAAAATGTAAAGACTTACCATTTGATACTCCGCTATCTATCAAGGAGCTCGCTCTACGACCACGAAGACTAAGGCTGCTTCTCCTCTGGCCTTTGCGGCTTTTTTCTTTCCTCATATCCTTATTTCTCTGGATGACGGGGGTGTCCGCGAATGGCAGTGCGATTTTGGTACTAGCATTTCGTATTTCTTCCGGCGTACTCTGGATCGCTTCCTCGTTATCTTTTGGAGGTATTTTAGGCGCCGAATCTTTGCTGCTACCGGGTTTTCTTTTCTTAGCCACATGTATAGGTCCTGGATCTGGCGTCTGTATTTTCTTCAGCGACTTTGATTGTTTCTGGTTCATTGGCTCAGTACTGTCTTGGACCGGTCGTTTTGATTTGGGTTTCATAGTTCTATTATCAATGGATTCCGACGACGGTTCAATAATATCGTTCTGTTCTCGCGACGTTACAGGCTTTTTCTTCTGTTGCCGAAGGACAGAGGCAGCACTACTCAATTCGGGGGTTGAGCTACCGTCTGATGCTCCATTCAATAGAACTCCGTTTGTCTGCTTCGGTTTTTTGACATTCCCAGCACGCGTGAACTGAAAACCCTCGACATCCTCATCATAATCAACTGTTTGAAGGGGCCACGGACGTTAGCAAAGAATCAACCCTCAAACATTACGACGAGCACAAGGATGTAGGCTTTCTTACTCGCTTTCCTCTTCGCAGCTAACCCGCTTATTCCGTTCCTCCCCACTACATTTTCTTTGGCCGCTGAGGAGGGAAGTTTAGCGGTCACGGATGTCTTCCCCCTCCCGCGCGTCTGTGACATAGCCAATCCTGGCGATCCAGTCAATAAATCTTGCTGGGCCTGTTGTGTATCGGCGCGTATCCTTAGCAACAGTTTTTCCTGGTCTCCTATGACTCCTCTATTCTGTATCGGTGCGCCGCCGGGCCTGCAGCTGATATTTCCAAGATGATGCTCGAGTCCCGTCGTAGTAGTGCATGTAGCCACGAGGACGGCAGTCATGTCCAGGAATTGTCAAAACACGATGGAAAATAGAAGCGTTGAGCGGCTGATTCAGCCGTAATGAGCCAGGTTTTGCTGTCCTTTCTGAAAAATGCTATTCAGCCGGCGCAGTTATCCCTCGAATTGTTCAACTTCATGCGCGTCTGCCCGCCGTCTTTCAAGCGCAACTACGGGTTCCTCGATGTTAACGATAAATTCCAATTCATCTAGCACGCAGTCCCATCGCATCCCACGGCAGCTCCTCAAGTTGTCCAGGCAGTCCCTCGTCGTTTTTGTCGATGTCAATCCGCCGTAAGCTCGGGGGTTCCTATCGCGCGGAGATCCAAACAGCCTCTCCTGTCTCACTCCCGTCAGGATATCTCCTCAGTGGTAAATGGCGCAATGTCCTAAGCGTTCACTGTGCGTATATTGGTCGCAGGTAACCAGGTCGAGTCCTCCGCTGCCGTCGCCGTCGCCCTCGTCTGTCGCTTTACTTGATATCGCTGGCGTTGCTTCGTCTTCCCATGAAATCGCGGGCAGAGCGAGCACTGACGCTAGCCGCTTTTGGGAGGTTGTTTTGGTCTTGGCAAAGGCCCTGTTTTGGGTTAGCATGTATTATGTAATTTATTACTAAGAGAGAGGCTCGTGACTAGAATTATCCGCTTTGGTTAGTAAGCACATTTCTCTTTCTAACATCAGAAATCCAAGCGAGCATTCCCATAGTTAAAAAAAAAAGAAAAAAAAATAGTGTCTGCCTATTCCATTTCTGTATATAGAACTCCCCTCCGTGCCATATTAGTTACCTTATAGAAGGTAGCATAATACCTTACTTCTTAGTCTGTAATCAATATTTCCTCCTTTACACTGCCTACAGAGTATCTTAGTATTACATCCAGGAATACGACCCACCACGTGACCGCTGGAGCTCGAACCAAATCAAAGCTCAAGCTTCAACATCACCAACATCAACAGCCAGCAGAACAGCAGACAAGCAGGCAGCAAGCAACGCAAAACGCCTTCTTCCTCCGCGGACCCACGACTGAGATACAGATCTAACCGACGCACTCACTACTCACTCTCCGTCGCCATGGGTTCCGACCCGCAGTTTGCCAAATACCCCGACCTCTCCCTCAGTCAAGACATATTCAACCTCTCAAACCCAGCATGCCACGCTTCTTCGCGCCAGAGCTCGCTGAAAAAGCTTCAGGCCGCCATAAAAGAGCACAGCATGGCGCCCCTATACAGACACCTTGCCCATCCGGTAGAAGGTGTACTTAATAGCACTGGGGAAGGCTCGTCACAGTCCCCTACAGCAGCTGGATCGAGCCCCGGCAGCACTGGGGTGGTAGTGATGTCGGACATGCTAGCGCGGAGACCATCAACTAGCAGGTCAGAGTTGGTGTGGGATGAGAAGCTCTATGATCGCCTAGTCGCGGAGAATAAAAGGGAATTGGACAGGTTGACGAAGGAGGAGGAAGAGGCGGCTGAGGCGGCCGGTGAGACGGAAGTACAAGCCGCAAGGGGCAAGAAAGCAGAACTTTGGGCCAGGGTAGGCGATAAGGTGTGTATTATGCTATCATCTTTTCTTACCCTATTCTTACCTGACACCAATCTTACATGCTCGATTGATTTAGGATAAAGCCATCGCGGCTTATGAGGCTGTGTTTGAAAATACTGGTATCCTAGGCACCAAGATTGATATTGTGCTTGCTATGGTCCGTATTGGACTTTTCTTTGGTGATAAGGTATTCGTCAAGAAAACTGTAGACCGTGCAAACACTCTTGTTGAGTCTGGTGGTGACTGGGACCGTCGAAATCGGTTAAAGGCCTATAAGGGTCTTCACCTACTTACTATCCGCAATTACAACCTTGCAGCACCTCTACTCCTCGACAGTCTATCGACATTCACCAGTTATGAACTCTGCAGTTACTCCAACCTGGTCATTTATGCTGTTCTCGCTGGTTCGCTATCTCTTCGACGTGTGGACTTCAAGGCCAAGGTAGTTGATGCACCAGAGATCAAGGCTCTTCTAGGAGAAGGTGAGGACAGGCTATCTGCGCTGTCAGGGTCTCTCTCCTCAGGTCCCGGAGCAGGTGATGAAGAGATGACAGACGTGGAGACCGGTGCCACTCCTACACCAGCCACAGCATCCAAAGTAGTCAACCTTACCACGCTAGGTACCGAAACTGGCGTCCAATCCGAAGCTGAAGCACCCGTCGACTTTACCTCATTGACCAAACTGGTTAGCAGCCTTTACATGGGCCAGTACCGCTCATTCTTCTCTGCATTAGCAGCAGTGGAAGATAACTTCCTTAGCCAGGACAGGTATCTGTTCGAGCACCGTGCCTGGTTTGTGCGTGAGATGAGACTACGCGGCTACCAGCAGCTACTGCAGAGCTACCGCGTTGTTGGCTTAGCAAGTATGGCCGGTGATTTCGGTGTCACTATCGATTTCCTAGACCGGTATGTTTATTTTACTTATCCCCGGCCAACAGCCCCCTCAGTCACTTTTTCCAGCGCCTACTTCCGCGCAGAATACTGATTTATTATAGGGACCTTGCTAAGTTTATTGCCGGAGACCGGATATCGTGCACGATTGACAGGGTCAACGGGATCATTGAGACTAACAGACCAGACGACAAGAACAAGCAGTACGCAGACGTAGTCAAACAGGGAGACGCCCTAATCACTAAGCTGCAGAAGTACGGCCAGGCTGTGAGGTTGAGAGGCAGTGAGCGCGGCTAACTTCGTGGCTCCAGCCCAGCTATTTTGTTCATGTCCTTAACCCACAACAACATCGGCCTAGATAGAAATATAAAGCCCTGATCTCTTGACTCCATTCCGCCTTTATTTCTACGCCCACATACTCTCTCTAAACTTCATTATCGTATATCCAACCCCCGTCCCTCCATCTTCTCAAACCGCCAAGGCTATGGCGAGTATCAAAACCATCAAGGGCCGCTCAATTGAAATTGATACGAATGACGCTACGTCCAGCAACAATTAGAAAATAAACCATGTCATAATTCATCTCCTTCTCTTTCTTTCTCTGTTCCCCCTTACCATCAGTTGTCTCCCTGCCTATAAACCGTTGGCTCGGCATGGCTTCTCTTCGCACTCTACCGAGCTTTACCACTGCATGGTCAACCGCCTATGATTGCTTTTTCCCTCGATGCCACGGACGTCTTCTTTGCTTCCCCGGTGTCCATCTGGCTGCGAAGCCGGCATCGCCTCGGTCACAGTGTGCTTGTAAGTCCAGTCGGCGTTGGCCAGGCATGATATGACAGTCTGACTGCTTCGTATCTCTTCCCCCACATATGAAAAAGCAAAAGTCAGGCAACTTATGCCCACGACTATTAAAAAGGCGGGCAGCAGTCCCTCACTTGCACCTATAGTCATTTCTACCCAGTCATCTTATATTGCTATAATATATATAGACAGGATTCGATATTTATACAATTATATTATACGCAGGCCGTACTGACATATTTATCAAGCTACCGCCGTCCTTCGTCGATACTCCGCCATGGCGACTCCCCGTATGAACAGGACTAATATCAACCCCAACGTTATCAACGCGCAGTATGCTGTCCGAGGAGAGCTGGCGGTGAAAGCAGAAGAGTACCGACTCGCTCTTGAAAGAGGCGAGAAGCTGCCATTCGATAAGGTCATCTTCGCCAACATCGGGAATCCGCAACAGCTCGAACAAAAGCCCATCACCTTCTCCCGCCAGGTGCTGAGTCTCTTGGAGTACCCTCCCCTCCTCCAGAACGAAGAAGCCCTCAAGTCGACCTTTGGATACAAATCGGACGTTATTGCGCGGGCAAAGACGCTGCTAGCAGATGTCCAGAGTGTTGGTGCATACAGCCAGAGTCTGGGAGCACCGGGTATCAGACAAAGTGTTGCAGACTTCATCGCCCGCCGAGACGGATTCCCGGCCAGCCAGAAAGATATCTACTTGACTGGAGGTGCATCTGCGGGAGTTAGCACTATTCTGAACGTTATCTGCGCTGGCAAAAAGACTGGAGTGCTTGTTCCCATCCCCCAATACCCTCTGTACACCGCAACTCTCTCCTTGCTCGACGCTACATGCGTGCCATACTACCTGAATGAATCTCAATCTTGGGCCACAGATGTCGAAGAGATTAAAACCTCTCTTGCTAACGGCGAGAAGGCTGGAACAGACATTCGTGCCATTGTGATTATCAACCCTGGAAACCCCACTGGAGCCAGCCTCAATCCCGCGGCCATCAAGGATGTAATTGATATTGCCGCCGAAAAGAGCCTGGTCATCATAGCCGACGAAGTATACCAGACCAACGTTTTCAAGGGCGAGTTCACATCCTTCAAGAAACGTCTACGTGAGCTCCAGGCTGAGTTCCCTGGTAAGTACGATGGCATTGAGCTGGTTTCACTACACTCAGTCTCCAAGGGAATGGTCGGTGAATGCGGCCATCGAGGAGGATATTTTGAACTCGTCGGTTTCAAACCTGAAGTGGTCGAGCAGGTCTACAAATTCGTGAGCATCAATCTCTGTCCACCTGTGATCGGCCAGTGTTTGCTCGAGTGTATGGTTCACCCGCCAGTGGAAGGTGAGGAGAGCAACGAACTATATCAGAAGGAGTACAACAGTATTGCCGACGGACTCAAGCAGCGTGCGTTTGCTTTGTATGAAGCCTTCAAGAAGATGGAGGGCGTCGAATGTCAAGAGCCTCAGGTATGTCATGTCCATTATATATCTGTATCGCCGTCCTGACGTGTGTTATAGGGAGCTATGTATCTCTTCCCAACCATCCATCTACCACCCAAGGCCGTTGATGCTGCCACCAAGGCAGGCCGTAAGGCAGACGAGTTCTACTGTCTCCGTCTCCTCGATGCGACAGGTGTCTGTGTCGTCCCCGGCTCAGGCTTTGGACAGAAGGAGGGCACTCTGCACTTCCGCACGACCTTCCTAGCACCTGGAACTGACTGGGTAGACCGCATTGTCAAATTCCACGGTGAATTTATGAATGAATTTAGAGGTTAATAATGATAACTCTCACCTAGACGAGATATACAAATACATAGGTAGATGATAGGGGATATTTCTGGTTGGCCAAACCCATCCTGTTTTGATTTCTATTTATTTCTATTTTTCTGCTTGTTATTAGCTCCTATAAAAACCGACCTTGGGCTATAGAAATGTGTTTTCCATAGAGATCGAACCATAATCCGATCTAGATCCTCTGCTTGACGAGCATCCCTGTCGTTATTAGTTTGTTTCCCACTCAACTGTCGCCCTCTCGTCTACTAAATACTCGTTTCTACGGAGTAACGTACCCACTAAATTTACCAACTCTCGACCAAACTCCTATGCAGCCCCTTTCCTCCCAACCATGTACCTAAACTGCTTTCTCGGGACAAACCGGCGATTGCCCCGGCAAACTCCAAGTTTCACCCGGATTCTCCTCGGGGAGAGCCGGGGAACCGGAGACAACTTAACCTTGGAAACAGCGAGAAACACCCGGAATTAACCGTCGATCTCAGTATCAGAAAGGCCTCAAGAATCAAGATGTTGGAAAGTACTCCGTACATAAAACTGGATGGCAACGGAAAGACGGATGAGACATCAGAAGATAAAAGACAAAAAGACGTTAGGAGCGGGAAGATGTCAGTAAGCGCGTTACGCGAAAAGTTGGTCGTCGATCCTGTTTCTGCAGGGCAACATGTGAAACGGCAGGCAGGGAGTAACAGCAGCTTGCTGTGGCTGAAAAAAGTTAGTTACGCAGAGTGAGGATCAACTTTGCATACCCCCGTATACTCCGTAGAGAACGGAGAAAAGAACAAGCAAGCTGAGACGAGGTGAGGCGTACAGAGAGCATGGCGTATACCTACCTACGTACGCATGATGATCAATCAATATGTATAGACTCTAGGCGGGATCTGTATGACAGACAAACTAATTGAATCAGCTAAATTGAAGGATCGTGGAGGATGAAGGAGTTGAGATGCATACGTGCACAGATACACGGGTAAAAACGTAGGCAGATGGACGGTTGGGTTATATGGCTTTGACTAGTCCTGATCATCGTTATCAATAGATTATGAGGCATTAACCAGGTATTTGTCGAGCATGTATCATCCCCAAAATAGCAAGGCCCTAAAGGAGATCAACAAATTGTGAAGATCCCCGGACGCTGCGCTACCATGACTACCCGTTACAGGCATTGATAGACCAGACAAGCAACTTGAAGCTCTTTTAAGCGTCTAGGCAATAGCTTATTCCCTCCATCGGCCTCGTTGTCTCATCAACGTTTTGTTATCTTTGACCCAGGGAGTTTGAAGTAGTAGTATGTAAGTATGTCATCCTGTGTAGTCAGAAGCTTATATCAGTTAGAGTACTGATAGCTATCCGCTGCATCCCCAGCGGCAGGACTAGGACAAGTAGGGTATGGCATCGATGAGGGGAACCCTTGCAAGTCTCTATCGTCTTTCATGCTGATAAGATAGAGGATCATTTTAGAACCAAAGAGTAAATAGGTTCTCCGAAGAGATATTGTATTGTTCTCCTGTATCCGCTCACCGGTCTGCCGATTCTCATGATCATTTCTTCAAGAATTATTATTTTAAGATTTCTTTGCGTAAGAACGTCGTACAGAGAAAACTGCTGTAGGACGAAGCCGGCGCAGCTAGGTCGCCGACTTGTCTCACTAAATGTTCTTTTAGGAAATACGTCGCAAGCGCGCTTCCCGCATCGGGTTGGCTGTCAGCCTACAGAGTGCCGTTGAACAATCAACCGATCCTCATTTGCTGTTGCAATGAACTTCAACATTGAACTAGGGCCGACCTACTCCGTAGGCGCAGCAAGAACTTCGTAGAAAAAGACGGCCAGAGGCTGAAGCTAGTGTGTTACAATCCTGCTGCGGACGATCAGCAAGAAGCGATGTTTTCAAAGCAGCGAAGTGATGAGCTGGGTGATATCGCTTCCCCGAACTCCGTACTCCGTACAAATCAGACTCAGGGTGTGCGATAGCATTTTCCAGAAGGGTGCCCGTCCATTTCCCTGGAGTTCCTGTCAGGGAAGATTCCGTTTCCCCCCCCCCCCCCCCCCCCCANCATTATGCACCAAACTTCCAGGAAGCAACCAGAAAATCCGGCGAAAACCAGAGAAAAAGAAAGAATGCGGAAGAGGGTCAGCTCGACGGAGCATGAATGCCCGACACGACGGAGCTGTGGAGGAAGACGGGAAAGCGATGCAAGGGGTCTCATTTTTCGTTTCATAGTTGACGCCCAATTGGATGGAAGACATTCGAACAGTTTCCCGAGCCTACTCGATACCACCTGTTGGAAAGCCTCGAGACGTCATTTGTTGCCCGAAAGTACTGAAGAGGGGAGAAGAGTAAAAAATAAAAAAAATTCTATCCCTGTTCTTGCATGGGCTGGGTCTGGCGGGGGAAGTTGGAACAGCCAACGATCCTTCGGACAGGTGCCGAACATGTAATGCAAAAGCGTGGGTGCGATGGAGCTAGCGAAGCTGAGCGGGAGCTAGAAAACCTCAATCACCAACGTGACGCGGAATGAGAGACACTTTTTCGAGCAAGAGCTCCCTCTACTCCTTTTTCATCGTCTTTCTTTTTTTGCAAAACGATGCGAGTTTTGCAATACGGCCTGGCCAGAAGGTGTTCCTGAGAAAGCAATCACGAGTCACCATTTTCCAGGAGTACGAAAGCCCACGAGAATCGCCACCCATCAGATCGAAGGCACAGCGAGCCAGTCAGCGCTCTGTACTCCGGAGTGAAGTCAGGGCCCTCTTTGTCCCTCAGTTGGACAGGTGTAAGCATTGTGGCGTAGCATGGTGGTAACCCCCCCATGGTTGTCTGTGATGGGGAACCTAACCCAATCCTTGCAAGAAGGCCTTTTTTGTAGATTATTTGGTGTGTTTTGGAGTACTCCGTGCCAGGACTGTAATTTTTGTCTCTTGATGCTGAGCTACCTGACCTTTCAACATCCAACATGGGCTGCAGAGAGATTTTCCCTGGCTCGTTCAATAATTGAGTAAAGTTACTCCGTACAAGTTTACCATTATATTGAGTAAGTGAAACCGACTTTCGAAAGTGAAAATAAAAACTAGACCCTGCGAGCTCGAGAATCAATCCGATGCCTGTAAGTACCTCCGTCTATGGAGTCATTATTGTGGCTGTCTTCACGGGTAGGCGAGTGGCTGGCCAAGGCGACTAACAGAGCAATTCGCTGCAAAATTATCGTGTAAGCCATCACAAGGTTGACACTGTTCTCGCTGCCCGTCCTCCATACAGCGCAGCCTTCCACCGCTTCTGCTGTGCTGCAGCTCGCGGCCCTCTCGAATGCAACTATGCGTGGATGTTGTTGTTGTTGTTGTTGTTGTTGATGTCGATGTCGTTGCGGTTGAAGTCGAAGCTGAAGGTTTCTCCCCCTTTCTTTTCCCCTTTTTGTCGAATCACGGGGATCGGAGGATGTCGGGGAAGACCGTCGCCCGCCAGCGCCACCGGGCCGGGAGAATCCGGGTGGCAGGTGGCCCAGGCCTTGCGAAAAAACCCCGTGCCCTGGCTGACTTTGCCTTCTTTTTTGCAAAACTCCACCAGACACGACGAGTAGCGAGCAGCAAACTACCGCTTTGCCGGAGCAACACCCACGATTTCGCACGATCCCTGACACGATATTACGCTTACGCTTCACGAAAACGAAAAATTAAACTGCTCCTGTGCCGTTGGATATAATAAGCAACCATGCTGCCCACCTCCGCTGCCCTCTCTTCCGCTCGTCGTGATCAGATACATATACCCTCTCATTCCCGCCCTTCCAACCCATCTTCCTCAACCATCACTTCTACTTCCCAGACTCAACAGGCAGACTTTTATAAGCAGCAGGCATTGAAACAGGATCATTCCAACTACCACTCTACATCCCTCAAAATGGTCATGCCGTCAGTTAACCGGACGAGCTTGCACCCAACTGGTGTCCAGTACGCTCCTTTGCCCTCTCTTAAATCCCCCTTATCATCAATTATCCTCTGTCAAGACCCTTCGACATCTGCCGGGGCCATCACTGACCGACCGCTTGCCAGGCCGTCTCACCCTCATACCGAGATCGAGGAGGAACTCCACGAGACCGCCCATATCGACTATGACAGAGTTGCTATCGTAAGTCATCTTGAATGGGAAGCTAAACCCATAGAACTTTCAATATATTCTAACTGGTCATTGCAGATTGCCAACCCTTCCGTCGCCTCCCTTTACGAAGATGCCTTGGTCTACGAGACCGGAACCGCCATTACCTGCAGCGGTGCTCTTACCGCCTACTCTGGTGCCAAAACCGGCCGCTCTCCCCTAGATAAGCGTATCGTCAAGGAAGAGAGCTCTTCCAAGGACGTCTGGTGGGGACCCGTTAACAAGGCCATGAGCCCCGAGGTTCGTCTCTCCATATTCCTCCTCCCCCTCCCCCCTTTTCCCCCTACCCTTCTAGCCGATGATATCATACGCTCCGCACCCACCGGGTAACGTGACTCTGCAATCTTGGCGGAAGAGGCTCTGGCGGATATCTTGGCGCTTAATTTTGTCTTGGCAACAACAAGTCTGACCTAAGCGCTTGGATTGATAGGTATGGAGAATTAACCGCGAGCGTGCCGTTGACTACCTCAACACCCGCAACCGCATCTATGTCGTCGATGGTTTCGCCGGCTGGGACCCACGTTACCGCATCAACGTTCGTGTTGTTTGTGCTCGTGCCTACCATGCCCTCTTCATGCGCAACATGCTTATCCGACCTTCTCGGGCCGAGCTCGAGCACTTCCACCCCGACTATGTCATCTACAACGCCGGTTCTTTCCCAGCCAACAGATGGACTGAGGGTATGACCAGTGCTACTTCCGTCGCCATCAACTTTGCCGAGAAGGAGATGGTTATCCTCGGAACCGAGTACGCTGGTGAAATGAAGAAGGGTGTCTTCACCGTGCTCTTCTACGAGATGCCAGTCAAGCACAACGTCCTCACCCTTCATTCGTCTGCTAACCAGGGTAAGGATGGTGATGTCACCGTCTTCTTTGGTCTCTCAGGTACTGGAAAGACTACTCTTTCCGCCGACCCTAAGCGTGCCCTCATCGGTGATGACGAGCACTGCTGGACCGACACTGGTGTCTTCAACATTGAGGGTGGCTGCTACGCCAAGTGCATTGGTCTTTCTGCAGAGAAGGAACCAGATATTTTCAACGCCATTCGCTTCGGCTCTGTTCTCGAGAACGTTGTCTTCAACCCAGAAACCCGTACCGTCGACTACGACGACTCCACCCTCACCGAGAACACACGGTGTGCTTACCCAATTGAGTACATTGAGAACGCCAAGATCCCATGTATCTCTGACGGCCACCCCAAGAACATCATCCTTCTCACCTGTGATGCTCGTGGTGTCCTCCCACCAATCTCAAAGCTCACCCCTGAGCAGACCATGTTCCACTTCATCTCCGGTTACACCTCCAAGATGGCTGGTACTGAGGACGGTGTCACCGAGCCCCAGGCCACCTTCTCATCCTGCTTCGCCCAGCCATTCCTTGCCCTCCACCCAATGCGCTACGCTCGTATGCTCGCTGACAAGATCCGGGAGCACTCTGCCAACGCTTGGCTCCTCAACACCGGTTGGGTTGGCGCAGGCGCCACCACCGGCGGCAAGCGTTGCCCCCTCAAGTACACTCGTGCCATCCTCGATGCCATCCACTCTGGTGATCTCGCCAAGGCCGAATATGAAGTCTACGACACCTTCAACCTTCACATCCCAACATCCTGCCCTGGCGTGCCTTCAGAGCTTCTTAACCCCAAGACTTCCTGGACTGGTTCTGCCGACTTTAAGCAGGAGGTGACCAAGCTTGGTGTCCTCTTCAACGACAACTTCAAGAAGTATGCTGATGAGGCTACTCCCGAGGTCATTGCTGCCGGCCCAGCCGTTGCTGCCGCCAAGGTCGAAGAGGCCGTCAAGCCTGCCGCCGCCGCTGTTAGCAACGTTGTCGAGCAGGTCAAGGCTGCTGTTGCTGAACCAGAGAAGGTTCTCAATGGCAATGCTCCTGCCAGCTAATTCATCTCGCCCACTTCGTCACGCACAGAAATCTTCCACCGATACACCCGAAATGTACCATGACCCGCCTTGGTTAGAAAAGTGCCCCTTAAACTTTTGTCTGCCTTCTCTTATTGTCGAGCTGCATGTGATACTCAGCGTTGCCTTTCATTTTCTTTACTACCACTTCTTTTGCTCTGGCTAATCACAACGATTACGCTATCTCTCTTGGTCGAGAGACTGCCCCCATCCCTACAAATTGTGCCTGCCTCTTTTTACTTACTATGCTTATCTTGTCTTGGCTTTGATTTTCGCGAGTGAGTGAGCTGAGTCGGTGAGCAGCGCAAGGAGATGGAAACAATTAATTAAACCATAGACTATACCCATTAGAAAAAAAGGAAAAAAAAAAAATAGAAAAAATATTTAAATTCAGCCAACTTGATTTTCGTAACTTATGGTAGAGGAGAAAGCTCACTCTTAAAAAGGCAATCCATACACCGTCATAGGCGGCGTCTGGCCATGATGTCTCCACGTCTTGCCTTTGTACTCTCCATGGGCCCTCGAGGGCAACAAGACATGTGCTGTGTTACCGCATGCAGGAGGAGGGAAGGCTTGGCGCGGTGAGCTTGACGGGGATAAGCCTTGACGCTCCTTGGCAAGCTCGCGTGGTCTCCTTATAAGGACATTCATACAACGACACACGACGAGTTCACAACTGAACGCCATCACTAGGCAGGCAAGGGAGGGCCTCAGAGTGCCGAAAATAGTGTTGCAGGTGAGTATAACTACAGAGCGGATCTACGGAGTACGGAGCAGAGCAAATAGTTAAAGCTTCCCCATGGCTCTACCCAGTTCCATGCCACCGAAATAGAGCCAAGGCAACGCCCAAAACCTAGTTACTGCTCCCTTTGCCTCGCAGAACCCAGGGCACCTCTCTCGTAGTTCGATCCCGATAGAATCACGGCCCTCTAGGGAACGCCTATGCATATCCACGGGCCTCTACCCTACAAACTCTCTCGTGTGTGTGCCTATATCTGCCGGTGTGACTTTTTGCTGCAAGCTGCAATTCAATGCCTTTCTAAGCCCGTCTCGTGGTATGTTTCAGCCCTCGGACTGCCCCGACGGCCCACTCAGAGTGACTTTGGACGACTGGGATTCGCCATCCCGTCTTTAACTGGAGGGTTACACCTTGTTCCCTTCTTGCTCGAAGTCTGATAGCGGGAGATGCGCAGAGCCTTTCTGCTGCCTTTTAAAGACTCAAGAGCCAATTATAGCTTATATCGAAGACTCATGCTGGTCGGGGTGCATCATCCGTCATTTATGCCATTCTCTGTGATTTTACCAAGAACGGAGCTATATGAAAGCTACGTGGTCCGGCAGCCATGTTTCCGTCTCGAATAATCTTTCGCTCCCGACTTCCCCTCTTCTCTTCTGTGGGTAGTGGCTGAGTTTTTCTTGTCGTGTAATATATAAGGAGAGGCAGGTCTGCAACTTCTCTTGAGGCTGTTGGATTAACCAACGTACGAGTACTTTGTTGATCTCTACGCTGGGGGAAAATGGCGGACACGACAGTCATCACAAAGAGCGACGCATCTATCGATGCAGTGTCCAACCAAGGGCAAGAGCACCGCCTAGAGAACCCTGAGAAGTCAAGATGGGAGCGTAGCTGGCCGACGATAGCTTGCGGCGCTGGTCTCTTCTCTGATGGATATCTGAATAACGTAAGTAAACAGCTAACTAACTAGCTAAATGGTTAAGCCATCTTTTTCAGCCTGAAGGTCGCACGTTAACGCCATCGCAGGTTATTGGATCTGTCAACACGATCCTCTCTACGATCTACCCAGAGTCATACAACGCCTCTTCCGCCGTTAAAAATGTTCCTTCGATTGCCTTCGCCGGCACGGTTATTGGCCAGCTTCTTTTCGGCTACATAAGCGACCACTATTCCCGCAAATGGTCGCTAATGGCCTCGACTATTATCCTGATTATATTTGCTGCATTATGCGCTGGTGCTCATGGCGCAGGAGGTAGCCAGGCCGGCTTGTTCGCTGCCCTAACAGCTTACCGTTTCTTTCTCGGGATCGGCATAGGAGGGGAATATCCAGCTGGCAGCGTCGCAGCAGCCGAAAGCACTGGAGAGCTAAAGCACGGTCACCGCAACCGCTGGTTTATCATGTTTACCAATTTCCAGATCGATTTTGGATTTGTTGTCTCTGCCCTGGTACCCATGATCCTGGTCTTGATATTTACTGAGAATCACCTGCGAGCTGCGTGGAGAGTGATGCTAGGACTGGGTGTGATTCCTCCTTTAACTCTGCTTTGGCTACGGCTGAAACTGAATGAGCCTGAAGAATTCAACAGAGAGCGTATGCACAAATATCCTGTCTGGCTTATTGTCAAGTACGTTTACATCCTAATTCTTCACTCAATTAATGCTGACTTATCACAGGTTCTATTGGAAACGACTTGTAAGCGATTCTCATTATCATTCCCGCCTTACTTCATACTTACCTGTGCATAGTCGGTTGTCTCCCTTATTTGGTTTATTTATGACTTTTCTGCATACTCCTTCGGCATCTACTCGTCTGTCTGGCTGAAAATTGTCCTGGGCTCATCCGCTCCTCTTTGGAAGACTTTTGGATGGAACACTGTTCTCAACCTCTTCTATATTCCTGGTTCCTTCTCAGGAGCTTGGGTAAGTGACTGGATAGGACCGAGGTATGCCCTCGCGCTAGGGGTCGGGCTGCAGGGTATCTTGGGATTTATCATGGCTGGCTGCTATAAATATCTTGCCACGCCACAAAACGTTGCTGGGTTCGTGGTTGTTTATGGGTAAGTGAATTTTTTTTTCCAAGGTCTTCTTCTGGACCTAGACTAACCAATGAATTAGTATATTTTTGTCCTTGGGTGAGCTTGGACCGGGAGACAACATTGGCCTTGTAGCATCAAAAACCAGTGCAACGGCTATCAGAGGGCAATACTATGGCATAGCAGCAGCTATGGGTAAGATCGGAGCTTTCGTGGGAACATATGTCTTCCCCATTATCAAAGACAATGCACCAAATCCGATACGTGCTGGACAGGATCCTTTCTTTGTGTCTAGCGCACTCTGTTTGTTCAGCGCAGCATTGACCGTATTTTTATTGCCCCATATTGGACAGGTATGTGACCCTTATTCTCTGTAATATACGGCTCGGGTATACTAATTCCAAGTATAGGACACAATCACTTATGAGGATATGCGATTTAGACAGTATCTCCAAGAGAACGGGTATGACACAAGCACAATGGGAACTCAAGCGGCAGTCCCGGTGAGCCACGATCAAGAGAAGAACTGACCCCGGCTGTGTTAATTATTGCTCCTCAAGTAGGTAGAACATAATAACTAGTCCACACGTACCAATCTCGTGGACTTCTAGAATTAATATCCTTATTAATGCCTCCATCTCACCTTTAACAACCCTGCAAGCACTCCGTAAAGTTGTCGCATCTATGACCCTTTTACAGATGCCGAGGTAAACATCACGTGCAGCTGAAGGTGCGACTCCCTCGGCCTTTTTCCTTCATGATCGTTGCATTTATCCCCAGATGAAACAATAGAACAACAGAACGACTTCTATACAAGTTGATAGATTTTTATCATACAAGTGAGACCAGATCCCACAGCGCGAACCGTCACCTACCGCTCGATAGTTTGCACAGCTGAATCAAACTCGGTTTTGGACTCAACGTCGAAAGAGAGAAACGCTCATAACGCCGTGAAGATGGTTGCGGACGCCCTTGCCTACCACCCCACGGTGGCTCATTATTCTAGATTTATTGCTACTACCGGTATGTATATATATATATATATATATATATATAAG